CCCCAAAACCCCAAAACCCCGCAAAGGTCAGTTTAACAATTATAAATAGTTATTTTCATCACGAATCCATATTATTAATGTTTGTGTTTATCATATTATTCCTATCAATATGATTAGCATTTTAAGTATTATACTAGTTGCTTTCCTCAGTTAGGCATTATTGATACTTAAAGTTTGCAAGTTTTTCACTCAAAATATCAACCTTACATCTAGAGCACATCCTCACAGGCGAGTAGTACCCGAATTTCTCAATAGGCATCCAATTCTTGCTACATTCATTGCAAAAGCATTTGCCACAGTTCCTGCAGTGATGTATTCTTCTGAATAAAGTGAATTCCCTGTCACAATTTAAGCAATTCAGTGCCAAGTGATCTGGCACCCATAGAGGAGGCTTCTGGGGCTAATAATCAACACTCCTAGCACTATCTAGAGCTTTCAAATTATTGCTCTAGCTGCTATTAGTTTCCTTCTTTCTATAATGCAACACTAGAATTTACTGCTCATTATTCCAATAATTCTCTCTTACGAACTTCAGTTACAGTTAGGGATTCATTATCTTGTTGTTGCAAAGTATCTCTACCTATGAGTCTGCTAAAGTATCTTCAGGCATTTCTTCAATAGCTCTATCCATATACAACTTCTTTAAAAGGTATCTGTAGACTTTGTGAACACTCAAGGTAGCTCTAGTCTTTAAAACGCTTGTAGTAATTTTGGGAAGATCACTGTATATCTCTGGAAGCAAATAAAATCTAAAGACGTCGTCTCCACCTTCTACATTGATCTTATGTTTCAAAAGTATTTTGTCGTCTGAAGCATTAAGCTTCTTGCAGCTGCTAATGTTTACATTTTTAAGATTTAGACACTAGGTGACTAAATCTTACAGAGATACTAAAGTTATGGAAGTTCCACTTATGTCTATGTCTTCAAGATATTTTAGGTTCGTTGCCAGTTCATGTACTCCGTCGTCTTTCACATTAAAACAGCCAAGCAGAATTACTTTGTGGAGATACCTCAAGTTCTTAAGACTATTAAACTGTATAAAGTGGAAAAGATAAGCTTACTGATTTATTCCAGCATCATTGATATTTTTACACTCAGCAAGGGATATCACATGCAATCCATAGGCACCTCCCTAAGATACTTCCTCAGTGATTCTCCTCATTCCATCTGCGGAATCAATAATTGATGAATAAGTCTTAGCTACATGATTAGCATTCTAGTCAAACTAGTCTGAAATATCGGGCATTCTGAACTAATTATTCACTCTTTTCTTAACCAGATTCATCATAGCCTAATCATTTATTTTATCGCAGCCATCCAGGTAAAGTTCCTTAAGATAAAATGGATTTGCCCATTCTGCTATCAAGCCAAGAGTCTCACCAGATATCTATGGGCAGAACTTCAAGCCAAGAACTATAAGTTGACTTGACCTCTGTAGGAAGATTGAGAACTTTGGATTGTTAAACTAATTCTGCTTATTGAATATTTGCATATCTCTCCATAAACTAGAGTTTTATGAGCATCGAGCTATTTCCCTACAAAGCTAGCTAGTCTAATACTTTTCCTATGGAGTTAGATGACCAAGAATGAATATTATAATTGCTGTAGGAATCTAGAGGACATGCCCTTAGTATCCTCTTTACTGATAAACATACTTGAGAAAGAGATTCTTTATCTTATTTTTCTTAATGTTTCTGTAAAATCTTTGAAGTTTCCTCGCACTAATTTGCTCTAAGTCACTCATTCTGTGTAGTTCAAAGAAATCCACGATTATTTATATCCAATCTTTTTAGTTCTTCATATTCTTACTCGGTCTCTTATCATACTTCAAATAATCATTCACTTAGGTATGGTGAGTTTTAGTTAGAGTAACCTGTGCTTCCTCTAATTCATCATCTATTTGGCTTTATCCTAATTAAACGTAACTGGCTTTCGCTATAAGTTCGATTAGCTGTTGAGAGTATTTTGTTAGACTTTATTTTTATTTCTATAGATAAGATTATAGTTGTTGTAATTACGTGTATATTTTAGTTTGTTGGCATTGACTTGAAAAGCAATCCTATAAAAGATGATGGCAGTTTTGGGATAAGTTTTTCTAAGGAGACACATTCAGCCCCAAGTGATCCAATTCGAGGACACATTTCAACAGTACAATCCTTTAGTTTAACCAACTATAGTAAAATAAGATTATAAGTATTTCATATTTCTCAGAGTAGTTGAGACAAAACTCTACAGTATTCAAAGCAAAATAATTGGCTATTTTATTATCAATCTTACATCTTATTGCAGCTTGATGAAATTTTTGAACTACTTAAGCACTATGTACTTCGAGAACTCAGATTCTATTTCTATTGCATAGAGGATAAAAGGATCTTTCTCGTCTATTACTGTGTGCTTCCTAATCATAAGTGAATAGGGCCTAAGAAGAATATTCGTTTGGCAGAAGGCTTTTTGTTTCACTATCCTAGGTTTCTCAAACTCCTCATAGTAGTTGCCACCTTCACTATTCAAGGGCGAGTATGCTGAGCCCTCAAGTGAATCTCAAGACATCATTGAATTTTCATATTGTCTGTTGGTAGGCGACTCTAATTGCATCACTTAGATTGAGATTTATCTTCTCATAGACTCTAACTAATTCTGACTCTATTAGGCAATCATTGATCTCTCTTATAAAATATTATAATTTTAATCCAATTTTATCAATGTTGCTCAACCACTTCCCACCATATCCAAACTTAATAATCCTCTGGGGTTTTGGGGTTTTGGGG